CACCCCTGTGCGTGGGGCGGGGCTCTTCCCCGGGCCTATCAACCGGGAAAGGGACCAGGTGCCGGCCCGTAGAGGGAACTCGGATGATAGCCTTCGACGGGCAGGAGACCTCGTGGTGCCCACTCTGTCCTCACTCTGGACTTCCTGCAGGGTGTCCGGACTGATCCGCGGGTCTTCCTAAAGGGCAGGGGCTGCTGGCCTCTCCAGGTGGGGTGAGGCAGGGAGACTCCCACCTGCCCCCATAAGCTGAAGAGGAAGAAGCTCATTTATGATCCCCTGGCTTGTTTCTTTGCCTTCTTACGCCTTTGGTAAGGGCTGTTTACCGCTCACCTGTGTGGTGGGTGAGAGCACTCCCAGGTGAGTGCCTTGAGGCCAGGGGGCAGCAGCAAGGAGACTGGGCAGACAGCCTGGCTGGAAGGGACTGGCCCTCTCCCACGGAACACTGTCTCCAGGCATCACCAGCCTAGGGGCTCAGGGTTCTGTTTTATTAAGGGGCCCATGGTTTTCTTACAAGATGGAAGATGCAGGAATGAATTGCTTTGTCTGGCTTCTGCAAGAGGCTTCCCAGAGCCAGGAGAGAGAGAGGCGAGCTTCCCAATGGCCTAGCACTCAGATCCCTGCGGGCTACCCCTTCGAGGGAGACCCTGCTGCCTCCTTCCAGGCTCACCAAGAGGAGAATGGAGAATACTGGGGATCCCACACATCCAGGTCCTTACAGCTGCAGGGGTGCCACGCTGCAGACACACAGCCCAGGACCATGGCCGAGTGACCCTGGAAGGCAGGGGTCTTCCTCCCCCTCCCCCGCCCACCCCCAGGGCCCAGCCTGGTGGGTGCACCATGTGTGGTGAATGAAAAGCAGCCCAAGGCTTTTTTTATATATAAATTTATTTTATTTATTTTTGGCTGCATTGCATCTTCGTTGCTGCACACAGGCTTTCTCTAGTTGCAGCAAGTGGGGGCTACTCTTGGTTGTGGTGCGCAGGCTTCTCATTGTGGTGGCTTTTCTCTTGTTGCAGAGCACGGGCTCTAGGCACGCGGGCTCTAGAGCGCAGGCTCAGTAGTTGTGGCGCACGGGCTCAGTTGCTCCACGGCATGTGGGATCTCCCCAGACCAGGGCTCGAACCCGTGTCCCTTGCATTGGCGGGTGGATTCTTAACCACTGGGCCACCAGGGAAGTCTCCAGGGCTTTTAAATATCCCTTTCTTCTCTCTGGTACTTCTAATTTACCCTCCAAATACATATATTTTAATTTCCCCATTCTAGAATGAAACACTCTATCACTTTCAGTGACTCCTTCCTAGCAAAATGCTGCTTCAGAGAGTGTCATAAAAGGAAAGAATTATAGGACTTAATCTCCTTCACGTGTTTCCACTTCTGCTGTGAGGACTTCAGCACACCTGGTCTACAGGGAAATGTATTTATTCTGTTAAAAAGTGTAAATCTTGGGCTTCCCTGGTGGCACAGTGGTTGAGAGTCCACCTGCCGATGCAGGGGACACGGGTTCGTGCCCTGGTCCGGGAAGACCCCACATGCTGCGGAGCGGCTGGGCCCGTGAGCCATGGCCGCTGAGCCTGCGCGTCCGGAGCCTGTGCTCCGCAACGGGAGAGGCCACAGCAGTGAGAGGCCCGCGTACCGCAAAAAAAAAAAAAAAAAAAAAAGTGTAAATCTTCAAACAATGTCTTTTTTTCGGGGGAGGGGGCTTGGGCCTTTTATTATTTATGCATTTATTTCATTGTGATCATGGAACGTTTCAAACATAGACAAAAGTAGAAAGAAGAGTGACATGAACTCCTACGTTCCCATCACCCAGCTTCAGCAACTATCCACAATTTGTAAATTTAAGTATTCTTTGGATTTTAAGCTCTACTCAATCCTCTCATATTTACTGTGCAGGGGAAGAGGGAAGAGACAGACCATCTGATTATTAATTAATCTTAACGCTTCTGGAAAACTTTAGCTTTTAATTCTGGAAGTTTTATGAAAATCCTGCCTCTGGGCTAAAGGCTCACAGGCCCAGGCAGGGAGGATACTGGGCGGCCAGGTGCTAGCAGAGGACCAGACAGCTGCTTCCATAGCCTAATGCTCTACTAGGGAAAGGCTCCATCATTCCACAGCCTGGCTGGTAATCGAGACTTTCAAAGGCTAAGTGTGCCCAGCGATGATGCTACTTAAGATGCCACGTCTGAGCCCGGCTTTTACTCCTTCTGGAAGACAGAGTCAGTCTGCCGTCTCCTGTCAACTCAAATAGAACAAATCACAGGTTCCGTCCCAGAGAGATGACTTACTGAGTGTCCTACCAAGTTTCTCCACCAGGGGGAACCATGAGGTGCAGTCTTGGACCCTTACGGGGCCTTTGGGTCTTTTTCAGTGGAATGCAGGCCGGATGACCAGTGTCTGTCTATGTGACAGGCTCCACTGGGTGGGGATCCTTCTTTTTGAGAGCTCAGCTGGACCAGTGGACAGTCCAGGATGACACACTATTGGGAAACCACAAAGCTCATGTTTCAGTTGAGGGGAACTCTGGGGATAAAATGTAAACAATAAATAATTTAAAATAATTAAAAAGGGCTTTCCCGGTGGCACGGTGGTTGAGAGTCTGCCTGCCGATGCAGGGGACACGGGTTCATGCCCCGGTCCGGGAGGATCCCACATGCCGCAGAACAGCTGGGCCTGTGAGCCATGGCCGCTGAGCCTGCGCGTCCAGAGCCTGTGCTCTGCAACAGGAGAGGCCACAACAGTGAGAGGCCAGCATACCGCCAAAAATAATAATAATAATAATAATAATTTTTTTAAAAACGCTGCTGCTTATTGAGCTCTCACCATGTGTCCTGGGGAATGGTTCCCCTGGAGTTGTGCCCTGTGGTCAGACAGTATGCTAAGAACTTTATAGATGTTATTTATTCTCTGCAACCCTGAGGGATTCTTCCTCGTTTAATAGGTTAGAAACCTGGGACTCAGCCAGACAAGCACAACCTGCAGGGGCCGCACCTTGGACCTGGCAGAGCTGGGTCTCAGCAGCCAGGTCTGCTGGTTCCAAACCACGGGCCTGTGGCCACCGAGCAATGACCCAACTCCTGGGGCCCTCGGGTGACAAGTGCCCCCACTCTGTCTGTGGTGTGAGTTTGCGTCCAGCCAAGGCTAAGCAGAAGTCCTGTGCAACCTCCATTATAGCAGGTGTGGCCGCTGCAGTTTAGCTCCCCAGCCTCTGGCTCAAACAAAATGACCTTCACAAGGGTTGTTTAACTGGATTTCTTTCCCTCTCTCCTTACTTAAGAAGCCCTTTGCTTCCCACAGTTTTGCTGCAAAAATCTGGCTAAAAGGACTTGGGGCATCTGGCTGGTGAATGTAGGTGGAGCTTTTAACTTTAGATGAAGCACCATAAAAGGTCAGCTCAGCTGGGGAGCACCCTTTCCTACCCGCCACGACTTTTCATTCTAACTCGGCTGCTCTCGGCCAAGGCTCAGCTGGCACAGGTTCCGGGCCTCCGGGCGCTGCTCACCCTCCCACTGAAGAGACACCCCCTGGGAGTTGGCGTGGTTGGTGCCTAGGTACCTGCAGAGCCCCCAGAAAGGGGCTTCCTTCCCGTGCTCACGACCAGTGATGCTCCTTGGAGCCAGGTGGACCCAAAGGTGGCCTTTGATGGACAACGGGCCCCTTTGACTGCCCATCCGGCCCTGGACCCAACAAGCCACTGGGTTCCCACTGGTGGTGATGGTGGTCCACATGTTCACTGGGTTAACACTCTCACACATCAGTGTTGGCAGCACAGGGTTGACGTGTGTGCATGGGCTTTAGACTGAGTGTGAATCCCGTCTATTTACTTACTGCTTGTGTGACCTTCAGGAGGAAGCTCTCTAAGCCTCAGTTTCTTCGGCTGTGAAATGGGCATTACAATCCTGGTCTCACGGGGACCTAAGCGAGAACCCAACCTGGGAAAGGAAAAGGGTGCCTGGTGGCAGTTAACCCACGCTTCCAGCGCCGCCCCCCCCGCCCCCGCCAACACCCCTCACAAAGAAGGATCCTCCTTCCCTTGACACTCCGGGGCTCAGCTTCCTGCGGATCCAGAATCAACAGCTACTCCTCGGGATCAGCAGAGGGAGGCTCTGGGTAGAGAATGACTAGGCTGGGGAACTGGAGTGGGTGGGGAAGGAGAAAAGGAGATCGTTCTGATGGAATGCTTGTCCAGCACAAGGGAACCCACAGTGTCTGGAGGCACAAATGGTCCTTCATAGTAACAGACGGTCCGGCAAAGGGCTCAGAGGATGAAGCATGGGATGGGAGGGAGGAGACGATCTAAAGATTTTACAGAGGTCTTGGGGGGGGTCAATGAGGGTGTGACGGGTGTGTCTGCATGATCTCAAGGTGGGGATGTAAAAGGAGCTCCTGGGGTTCATCATGTTCAGGGCCCTGCAGGCCACAGCCCCCCAGAGGCATCAGAAGGGGGCACAAAACACACACAGCAGGGGACCCACCCCCAGGCCCTCGCTGAGGCCAGGCAGGTTCATCTCTGTTTATTTTTTCAAAACAAAACTAAAAATCATCACTCAAAACATTTGAGGAGAGTGCCCAAGTTAAAAGCTTTATGGAATTTGCAGCCAGCACATCGCAGACTGGTGGTCAGAAACGGGAGTTCCCGGCATTGCCCGGGCAGGTCTTCCTCTCTGCCTTCAGCCTCCACTGCTGTTCTCTTCGAGCTGAGGTCCAGGCAGCAGGGTGGCCAGCCCAGGGCAGCGGCTGAGGTTGGCAGTATCCGCAGGTCAGAGGCTTTCCAGTTCTCCACGGGCTTCTGATTTGACCATCCAGCACCTTGAGGGCCCGACGTGCTCCCTCCCCCATGAGAGTCCAAAAGCATCTGCAAGGAATGCAGGCAGGTCAAGGCCCGGGCGCTGGCGCTGTCAGAAGGAGGACGAAAGGGCAGGCAGTTCAGGATCTGCATCTTCACCAGGAAGGGCAAACTCGTTGCCTCCAGGGTCAGGGGGTGGAAAACTGACTTGCTGTCATCATCGCTCGTGCTTAATGTTGGCTTCACTTCGCTCCAGGGTGACCCCGTTGCCATTCCGAGGGCCTTCCTTCCTGTTCCAGTCCTCCGTGTAAAACTCGCCAAGCACGGGGCAGTGTTCAGAAGCCACTCCGCCCCAGGACCAGTTATCTGGAATCCAAGGGTTCGTGAGGCCTTCTCTCAGTACAGCCCAGTGGCCTGGAGGCAGAGGGAAGACAGACCCAGAAATCAGGATGGGGGACAGGGTGGAGGTCACAGGCTGGCGGTTGGAGGCCAGTGCTGTATGTCTGCAAGCCTGACAAGACCCCTCAATTCAGCCGGCTTGTCTGTGCAAACGAACTGTTTCAGCCCATTGGATGTGCCGGACAAGTGACAGTTTACCGTGTAGGCCCTGAAACTACCCCGGGGCCAGGCCTCCTGCCCAGTCACACACCCGTCAGCCTACGTGTGGTGGCCCCTGCCTCACTATGCACCACTTCTAATCTGACCAGCAAGGCTAAGTGTTTGACACAGGGACACATGCCCTGCAAAGATGTCTAAAGTGAAGTGAAGGTCGTATTTTACAAAGCAAAGACACTGGGGCAGGGGGGTGGGGGCGTGGGGAGGAAGTCCTACAAAAAGAGCAAAGAAGAGAAAGTTACAGAAGTTTATGAGAAAGTAAAGGTATCTTTAAAGTCAATATTTAGAAATATATGAAGCAGGAGGTACGTTTAAGAAACAATGAGGGACTTCCCTGGTGGCGCAGTGGTTGAGAATCTGCCTGCTAATGCAGGGGACGCCGGTTCAAGCCCTGGTCTGGGAAGGTCCCATATGCCGTGGAGCGGCTGGGCCCGTGAGCCACAACTACTGAGCCTGCGCATCTGGAGCCTGTGCTCTGTAACAAGAGAGGCCGCGACAGTGAGAGGCCTGTGCACCGCGATGAAGAGTGGCCCCCGCTTGCCACAACTAGAGAAAGCCCTCGCACAGAAATGAAGACCCAACACAGCCAAAAATTTTTTAAAAAATTTAAAAAAACAAATAAATAAAATAGCAAGGAGAAAATCAACCAATCTAAAAAATGTTAAAAAAAAAAAAAAAGAAAAAAGAAACAATGAGGGCTTCCCTGGTGGCGCAGTGGTTGAGAGTCCACCTGCTGATGCAGGGGACACGGGTTCATGCCCCGGTCCAGGAAGATCCCACATGCCGCGGAGCGGCTGGGCCCGTGAGCCATGGCCACGGAGCCTGCGTGTCCGGAGCCTGTGCTCCGCAGCGGGAGAGGCCGCAACAGTGAGAGCCCGCGTACCGCCAAAAAATAAAAATAAAATAAAAATAAAAAGAAACAATGAAATAGTCACAAAGGCAAGGACAGAGCAGTTAGAAGCACTGGCACGGCCCTCAGTGAGAACTTTCGCAGATAATTAAGTGCACCCAGACCTGGGCTCTGGTGTGAGCCGTGCCTGCCCAGGTGACAGTTCCATGATGGTGGCAACTCCTCCCTGCACCTTGGTTTCTACAACTTAAGAGCAGGGGATAGATGAGACGATCTCTACCTTCCTCCCAGCCCCGCGCTCTTGAGCACACCAGCTCCCTTGGTGACAGCACTGCCCTCCCACTGGGCCCCATGGCAGCCTGCCACTGGCCTTGGTCTGGCCAGCAGTGCGTTTCTGCAAATTGCACCTTGCCTAGTTTGATGGCCGTCACTCCCTCTGAGACCCACTTTCTTCGTCCTTTGGATTCTCCCATGACACAGTCCAACAGGAAATTCTAGTCCTGAGGATCTAAGTCTTGGCTGCACGTTGGGGTCTTACAGTGGGACCTCAGCATTGGTACCTAAAAACTTTTTTAATGTCTCACTGAAGTATAATCTGCATCCATTGGTGCTTAGTAAAGCTTCCAGGTAGAACTGAGAACAACCGTTCTTGTCCTTCACCAAAAGACCCGCTGCTTCCATATTTCTGGTTACGACTGTTTCATGACCCAAAGTCTGTTCAGCAAGTGATTGGTTTGGGGGGGGAGTGCTTTTCAGTGCTGAGATTACCCACCACACCCTGGTCCTGGTGGAGTCCTGTCTAAAGAACTTTTCCATCCTATCATGATGCCAGGTGACATGTCAGCTCACCTCCAACTGCTGCTCCTCAGGCCACAACACAGCGCCTGAATGTGACAGGGCTTGAGGAGTGTTTGCAGAAGGGCTAAGTGTCCTTAAAATTAGCCTAAGGTATCAGCTCATCTTGGAATTGGGGGATGCCGCCAGTCCGGAACCAGGTTTGCCCAAGACACACTTGCTTTGGCCCTGCTGCAGATCAGTGAATGCCTTTTATTATTTTTCACACCTCCTTCACTCTTAAAAGTGGCTCTGTGTGAATGATAATTATACAGCCACCTAAGCAATAACCTGATAAATGCCCACAGAGCAGGGAAGGTCACTCCTGGCTCTTGCTGAAACCAGACAATCCAGAACTGTCAGCTCAGATAGGCGATCCTTACTCTGTTTCTGAACAGCACTTGTGCTTTACCTGTGAAAACCTTCTTTAAGCTTTTACTGATCCAGATGTTGTCCAGAGTCTTCGAGCCTTGAGGATTCTTGGTGCTGATGTTGGTAAAGGTGTGTGCGGGGACCAGGTGGTGGAATTTTTCTTTCCTCAAGATATCATAGTCACTGCTGTCTGGACCCTGGCCGAAATCTCCTAAAACTATCACCTCTTTTTCGCCTGGAAGTGGAAGAAAGAAATTCAGGAATGTAAGAGGTGGTGGGAAGTCAACACAACACTGACCACAACTCATTTAAGTAGGATCATGACTCTCTGAATTGACTCTGCAGGGTGAGGACTGTGGCATGGTTCTTATTCTCCCAATTTTTCCAAATTCCTTGTCCAACAAAACCCCCCCAAACTTTAGGAGTAGGTTAGTGACCCATTTGGAAATGGGGGGCAATGTGATAAGAGAGATCACCTCTGTTCCGGATCATGGGTTCCAAATCATATAGCATAGAAAGCCCTGAGGGTCTTCCCCAGATATTTAACAAACGCTCAACAAACATTTATTGAGCACAGAGGGAAGACCAGGTGAAAACACAGGGAGAGGACGGCCATCTACAAGCCAAGGAGAAGCCTCAGGAGAAACCAACCCAGCACCTTGATCATGGACTTTCCAGCCTCCAGAACCGTGAGAAAATAAATGTCTGTTGTTTAAGCCACCCAGCCTGTGGTACTGTGTTAGGGCAGCCCTAGTACACTAATACAGGGCCAAAGTGGAAAGCTTTTCTCTTTCAGTATTTTCAGCATTTCTCTCATAGTTTGATTTACTAGAGTAAGTGGGATAGTTATGAAGTATTTTCCAAAGTGAGGAGACACTCAGAAAGGACAGTGGGCCCCAGCTAGGCTCCCTGGGATTCCCATCCACTGCCTGACTGTCACTTCTCGAGATTCCCTTCCGGGGAGCCACGCTGTCAGAGGGAGTGGCGTTTCTGCTGTACCTTGTAAGGGAAGCTTTAAGCAAAGCAATTAATAAACTAGGGCCAAATGCATCCGAGACACTCAGCAAAATCTTCCTGGACACAAATTATGTTGCAATAATAATGGCTAAAGAAATCCAAAGTGAAACAACACAAGCCACCAGCAGAGGGCACTCGCGCACCGCACATGACGCCCTCCTCCAGGGGACGTGACGGACAGCAGAGGACGGGAGCAAGGCCTTCCTGCTACCATTGTGTGACCAACAGAGAGGTAACTGTACCCCTCAAGCTAGATCGTAACAACCTTGGCACCCAAAGCAGGGTGAGCCCAACCAAGCTGTCTTGAGAAATCGGTGCCAACTTCCAATAGGAAAGCCAACTTGAGAATAATACAAGTAACAACTCATATGTGGCCAGTGTTAATGACCCTCCACTGAGCCCTCACCGTGTGCCAGGCCCTCTTGCAGGTAAGAAGCTGAGGCTCTGAGAGGTGGAAGGGCTTGCCCAAAGTCACCGAGCTAGTCCTCAAATCCAGGGCTCTTTACAAAGAGCTAGGATGGAAAAGCCCCACACATCTGGAGCAGAGCCTGCTGCCTGGAGGACGAGCGATCAACACGCAGGAGAGAAATGGTGAACGAAGCACGAAGAAAACCACAGAATTAAGGTGCAGTGTATTTTTGGAAAGGAACAAAGAGAAAGATGCTACCTTTATTGAATATCAAGGAAAACTGAAGTTAGGAAAGGCTGAGGCAGAAGGTTCCCCATATAATGAGAGAGGTTTTCACTGGGAGGCAGACCTGAAAAATTCGGGCCAAAAAAAGACAATTCTGAAACCAGGAGAGATGCTGGTGTCCTGGGTCAATAAACCCAGCTCTGTGTAACTTCAGGAATGAAAATAATGGCTCTTTTTGAACTGGCAGGTCCAGTTTCTTACAACTCACCTTCTTTTGGTTAAAGTGGTTTGGTAATGACATCAAGACAGTCCTTGCCTCTAAGAATCCACAGATGTGCAGGCGCCTGATCTCTCCCAGGGAGCTGTGCGCCAGGGTGGGCTCTTGAGTCATTCTCTTAGTTTCCAGGAGTGAAGGGAGAATGCCTGGGGCTGACTTCCTCAGAGACTCTAGATTTACAAAATGCCAGCGACAATAGCAGGAGCCAGTCCCCAGTGGAAGGTCTTACCCAGATGTCAAGCATGACTTTGCTCTGTTTCACTCTTGCTGAGTTCACAGAACAGGCCCCATGGGGTCTGAAAGAAGAAAATTCCATCGAGGATGGGCACTCCACCCCCAGCCCCTGCTGACTCCAACCTGAGTGCACATTCCAGACAAAGGCAGAAAGGCCCAGAGTTTGCTAATCAAATCGGCTCTGCTTACTCTGATAGAAAGAAGCCTGTGGAATAAAGGCTTAGTCTCTGTTTTAGCTGAGCCACCTCCACTCATCGATTTACCCTTGTTGCCCCTTGGGCAGGCTGCAGCACTTCCTGAATCCTTGGCTCTGCCATGTTAACAGCAAACTGGATGTTAGCTACAAGCAGGGGGACACGGGGACATAAGTCACTGTCCTTACATGGGCATGTCAAGGCCTAGCCAGGTTTTGGGTCAACAGTCCCCCGGCAACTTGGAACAATACCCTGCCCAGGTTTTCTGACAAAAACCTGATCCCTGCCCGGATATCAGAAAAAACAGTGAGGGCCTAAGGTTATCAGAGAAGTTAGGAACTGGCATCTTTCCTTTCTGCTTCCGTGTAAAGAAAAGGAAAAGCTTGAGATCAAGAACAATAGAAATGTGCACAGATTTAAAAGCTATCAAGTCATCCTTTTTAATAGGTTAGAAAGTGGCTGTAGGTGAACAATTTCCCACATAGTTGCTCCTTGGATGCAGTATCTCAACTTAAACATCTTTCTGACTTCTTTTTTAGCCCAGAGACTCATAACTTAAGGAGAACGCTGGTCACAGCACATCCTGGTTCGAGATGTAAGCTGCCTATCAGTGTTCATAACAGCATTATTTACAACAGCCAAAAGATGGAGAGAGCCCAAGGGTCCACTGACCGTCGAATGGAATAGTCTTTGGCCCTAAAAAGAATTCTGACATATACTACAAGCCATGAAGACATAATGTCAGTGAAATAAACCAGCCATAAAAGGACAAATATTGTAAGATTCCACTGACATGAGATACCTAGAGCGGTCAGGCTCATAGAAAACAGAAGGTAGAAAGGTGGCTGTCAGGGTCTGGGAGGAAAGGGAGAATGGGGAGTTCGTGTTTAATGGGTACAGAGTTTCAGTTAGGGAAGATAAAAAAGTTCTACAGATGGATGGTGGTGATGGTTATAAAACAATGTCAAGGTACTTAATACCACTGACTCGTACACTTAAAAACGGTGAAGATGGTAAATTTCACGTTACGTGTATTTTATCATGATAAAAACCTTTTCAAACTGTAAATGTGTACTTTGAGTTATTTATGTAGCCAAATCTTCAGAAATCACCTTTTGGGGGGGCGCCAGTTCAACAAGGGAAAACAAGGCTTAGCGAGCGACGGAATATTGGTCAAGGCTCTAGAATATGGGAGAGAGCTGCAGGCCTCCGGCTATGAACCCTCACCTGGAGAAACTCAGCGCTCTAAAAAGCCGAGCCCACCGGAGCTCATCCCAGTCTTTAGAGCCGTGTCAACTTTTCCTTCTGGGAAACCGCGCACAGAAAACCTTCTGTGTTACTGGGGCAGGAGCCTGGAAAGCAGAGTGCCCCACCTTTCTTCTGAAGTTCTGTTCTTTTCAATGTTCTCTTAATCCCTCTGGCATTTTTGTGAGTCAACTCATGTCCGCTGAGCCCCTGCTATGTGCTGGGTCCTCCCTCAGACGGTTATCACGCCCCGGGTGCCCTGTGAGGTTAGCACTGTCAGCCCCCATCAGATGGGGCTTGAAGGGTGGTGACTTGCCGGATGTCCTACAGCTGAAAGAGCTAAGATTAAAATCCAGCTTTTCTGTCGGCTTCAGGGCTCTTTTAACAAGGTCGGCATCCCACCAGGGAGAAAAATTCAACTTACGGCTCATCAGGACTTTCCCACTCCCCTTGTCACCAACTGTCTTTCACAAGAAGAGCAGGTGCAGATCTGCAGGAAGGACCACCACGGGGGCACACCCGGGGCAGCGGAGCCCACGATGGGTGTCACGGGGGAGGGTACCATCACCAAGTTTTTTCCCCCTAATCCTTTCCATCAAAGAGAGGCTGAAGAGCCACAAAACCAACACCGTGGAACCCGCACGCTAGACCCACAGAGACAAAGCTGTCAGCATGCCCGGGGCAGCCAGGCTCCCCAGGATGCAGGCGGTGTGCTGGTTTCCCATGCATTACTCAGTATGCATCGCCGCCTACAGGACAGCCAGCCTAAGGGAGGGGAGAGATGCTCTGAAGAAGTGACCCCCGCCTGCCCTGCAGAAGTGGGGGCTGCTGGCCCAGCTGCAGAGAAAGACAGTTTCCTACCTTTCAGGGTTTCCTGCAAGGTCTGCACGAAGCTAGCCCAGCAGTGGCTGTCACTGTGACTCTTGCTTGGGTTCTCACCCCCTGGGAGGGTCAGGGCTTCCAGGTGAAGGTTCACCAGGGTCAAGTCATGACTTCCCACCTGGGCAACAGGAAACAAAGCATCAGGCACAGGCGGACAAGATGTTCTTACTACCTGTACCCGTTACCTCCGCCCCATGAATAGCTTCCTGCACAACACCGACAATGGGAAACGCACACAAGGCCAGCTCCCCCTGGAGAGAAGGCAAGGCGGCCACCGGAAGAGTCTTCTGAGGCCCCTGCAGGACCGAGGCCTGTCTTGTCCTATAGATGTACCCCTTACATTTCACCCCCTACTCCTCCTTAGGGCCTGGAAAATTGGGCACATCTAGAAATGTCAAATTTTTGTAGCTTTTTTCCTTCTGAGCAGCTATGAGAGAGAAAGAGGCAGCTCTAGAAGCTGGTTAGCAGCTTCGTTAACAAAGACCTGGGGCTCTTCCCCACAGGGCCAGCCTGCCACCCCCTGCCAGGACCCGCTGCCGGGCCCTACCGCCTTCCCCCCCCTCCCCCATGTGTTCTCTTCCCTCCAGAGACCACTGTGCCCTGAGGCTTACTTTCACCTGATTTCAAACATGTGAAGAACGAAAGCTGCCGGAACCCTGGTGGCACACAGGCTATGCCCATCCTGTGTCCCCAGAGCAGGTGAGGAAGCACAAAGCCGGGGTCGGTCTCCCAAGCACCGCAGCACTGCTCAGCTGCTCTGGGTTTGGCAACCCTGCCCTTCTGTTTGTCATGGCAACGAACACCAAACCCTACCAGGAAGTGGAGGTGCAGAGGGAGCCCCCGGGAAGTGGAGGCTACCAGTTTCGTTTTACAGATGTGACCCCAGTTTGCCAACGCCAGTGCCCAGCCGGGAGAGCTCCCTCTGCAGCTGTGGCTCTGACCCCGGGGGAACCACCGTAAGGCCGTGGGCGGGGAAAACCTGCCTGGAGAGAGAAGCCACATCTCTGTCCCTACAACTTGCCTGGCCTAGGATGAGACACAAAGTAGAGGAGGCTACGTGCCTGTCTAGGGGGTCGCTTCACTTAGAGGATCTGGGCCAGTGATTCGTGATCTGAAAGCATTTCTCACTGGCCGTTATAAACAGCCTGCCCCCTAGAGACACTGGCTGGTTCTGCCTGTTGCCTTGCTCGGCCAAAGTCAGTACAGTCACTTTACATAGAAAAGGCACCCAGGGAGGAGGTGATACCTAGCTGATGCATAAGCATCAGTACCATAAGCACAACATGCAGACACCCCCGGGCGTGTGTCTGCACACGGAACGCCAGCATCTCTGCAACCACAGGTGCGAGGCAGGATGAGCTTGGGCTAGACCTCAACCAGAGTCACCACAGCCCCCAGCATATGGGCTGCCCCAGCCCCATGCCACCAGGGAGAGACTGTGCTGAGGTCTGTGGCAACTCTCAGGCTCCAGAACTGCGCTGGAGCATACAGAAAGGGGGTGTCCCAGACACCCTGCAGGCGGCTTGCTGGGGACCACTCTTGCCTGACCCTGTCACTTCACGGGGTTAAGGCCAACTGCTGACTTGGTGATCTGTTTAGGCTGCTGCCTTCTCCTTCCTGCTGCCCAGCTTCTGACTGTTTGCTGTGCCTTAATAGTTCCCAGAGGCGTCCAGGGCAATCGAAGAGGCAGCTCAGATCAGTCTGCTTGCTGCTCCTGGCTCTGGTGAGACAGGGCTCATCTGGAGGTGTCAGTTACAGGGCTGCCCTCACCCCACTGCCCAGAAGCTTCTTCTGAGCTCCTTCCAAACCCAAATGACCTCTCGAGGGTCCCCCCTCTCCCTGGTAAGAGAAGGGGGGTCCTCAGAGCAGTTGTGCTGCCCTCTAATCCAGCAGTTCCCAAAGGCCCAGCATCCTTAACCAGCGCAGGGAGAACGGAAAAAGCACTGCAGGTGCTTTGGAAATCCGGACATTCTGTGTGTCTGGGGCAGGGTCCAAGAAACGCTGATTTTAAGGAAATCTCTCCAGGTGATTCTACTGTTTATCAGGTTGAAAGGCAACCACGTGATCTCCTTCCTGCCCAGAAGTCAAAGTTACCAGAGCTATAGTCCCCCCAAATCCCTTTCAT